TGGCGCCTTCCCCCCGCCGAAGGGCCGAGGCGAGCGGTGCGGTGCGGTTCAGAGCGGGTTTGTGCCGAGCAGGCGGCTCCGCTCCGATTGTTCCCGCTCCCCTGCACGGGCTGCGGGACCAGCACACCCACACCCCGCCGCCGCTCGGCTCGGGGAGAAAAAGGCAGAAAAAACCTTTAGGAGATCGGGAAACCTCTTTTTTTTTTCCTTTTTTTTTCCCTATTCTCATTTATCTGTTTACACCACATGGAGACCTGGCCCTCCGATCGTGTATTTCCTGTACATTTACGTTTGCATTTATTTGCGTGTCTCTCGGTGTCTTTTTTTTTTTTTTCCTAATTTCTGCTTTGCCATCATAAAAGCGATAAAACTATGCACTCTCTTTCTTTCTTTTTTTTTTTTTTTTTTCATTTTCTCCTCACCCTCCGTAAAAGTTATTTTGCAAATGAAAATGGACGCTTAATCCAGCTTGACACACTGCTTTCATTTTAATTTAAGTTTGGCTACCGCTGTAAGCATGTAAACAAAACTTCTTGTTCTTGTAAATGTTGTCTCTTAAATTCCTCCTAATTATAGCACTAGTGCTATTGATTCAAGGTCCTGTAGGAGAAATGTAACCTAAAAGTCCCTCGCCATTTAATTTCCATTAAATGGAAAACAGATCAGCTTAGGACTGTAAATAAACAGAAGTTGCCTACGGATGCTTTTGTTGACTCAACGCTGTTGACAGCAGATGAATGCACCAGGAATTGTAAATGGGAGAAAAATCAAAGACGCTGAAATTAGAGAACTTAAAATAATGAGAAATGTAGACTAAACCGGCTACATTTTTCTATTCTTTGAGCGTAGAGTGTATTTTGATTCACACCGGCAGTGCTAGGCGCTAGAGGTTGTGGCTGGCTGCTCAGCCCAGGACTTTTAGCCCTTATCCTCGAATCAGGCTTTCTTTGGGTTTCGAGCGGAATGAACAGGCGCAGAGAAATATTCCCAATACGCTAGTGAACCTAGAAATTATTTATTGCCTCTTGAATTAAAAAAAAAAATGTTCCACGGCAACGTACCCGTAAGCGTTGACGGTGAAAAGACCAGCACTTTAAAGATAATTTGGGCTTTCAGATGGAAAAGGGACTTAAAAATTCGAGCCGAGAGAAACGCTGCGTTCCACCATCGCCCCTTTTTTTTTTGTTTGTTTGATTTGATAGTGCTGCGCCCCCGGGACAGGACCTTCCTCCAGTCCCGCCGCGGACCCTAGAGCATTTATCCGAGCCCTGGGGAAAAAAAAAAAAAAAAGAAATATTTAGGCAGATATTGGCCAGAGCACAAAATGGGGATCCTGTAGGATTCTTTCCCGCTACAGACCGGTCCCTGCAAGGTTTAAGGAGCTCATACAAACGTGGTTTTCTACTAGGCCCCTTTATTTGTGTATGCGCCGGGGCTACCCCGCGCCGCCCGGGGCAGGCTACCACCGGTGGCGC